GTGGGTGAAGTAAAAGAATGGGAAGATCAAAGCATTTCCAAGTCAAAGAATAAAAAACGACGTGACAGAGAGAGAGAGAGAGAGAGAGAGAGAGAGAGAGAGAGAGAGAGAGAGAGAGAGAGAGAGAGAGAGAGAGAGAGAGAGAGAGAGAGAGAGAGGGAGAGAGGGAGGTTGAGAGAGAGAGAGAGAGAGAGAGAGGTAGGATGGAGGGAAAGTAGCCGTTAATGAATGGGTTGGAACTACTCATTTCCACACCACTCATTCAAAGATCGACAGGGAACAAAAACGCGTACAAAAACGCCATATATACTGATAATTACATCCCTACAGTAAAAGGCGAAAACACTACAAGGGCGAATTGTAAATTAAGATACTCTACAAGGTAAAAGTTAGCCAATGGGTAAATAGGGTAAAACAGCCTGGTGTGTATATATTACTTCTAATGTATATGTGGTGAGTATAATATTATATATTGAGAAAGTGAGTGAGAGAGGGAGAGAGATGGAGAGGGAGAGGGGGGGAAGGAGGGGAGAGAGGGGAGAGGGGGGAAGGGAGGGAGAGAGAGAGACAGACAGACAGACAGACAGACAGACAGAGAGAGAGCATGACACAAAGAGAGCTCGAAATAGAGGAACAAGGAGAAAGCGAAGAGAGGAGAGAAGGGCGTTAGAAAGTGCACGAAGGCGAGCAGTTAGTGTTACTGTTATTAAGCCTCCCAGAAGCCGCCCATCACGCCCCCTATCTCCCGAGCATCGTACCCACCGCCGCCCGCAAACTCCGCCTCCTGTTCCTCCGCGTCTGTAACCTTGACCTGACCTTGGCGCTGCGGGCTGGGTTCGTTAGGCTCTTGTCATTTGCGTTATTTACGAGGTACCGGCGATGGGGCAACGTTGCAGCGGTTGTGAGAGTCTGCTGTGGTTTTAGCGGTTCTTGTTATTTCTGGTTCCAGCGTGTGGCGGAAGATCGATTGAATATCCGTGAAGTGTTATTATTCTTTTATTATCGTGATCAGTATTTGGTGTGTGGGCTTGATGCTGGTTTTTTTGTTTTTTTTTGTTTATATTTTTTACTCCTGGCGATTCACAAGACCGCGGACAAGGTAACGAGTCTGAGATGTCTCAGAGATTTCAATTGGTACAACGATGAACTTATCCCGCGCGTCCTTTAGCTGCAATGGCCGTCGATTTTAAAGGCTTTCTTACCTTATACTCCGTTCGAGGGTTTGTCTTTCCGCTGTTTTATCGAGTCCGTGCTGACTTCGCCGCAGTTGTCCGGATCACCAAACGGCCACTAAAATCGGCAGCCGAGCCTTATTCAACCAGATACGGCATCGCTCCGCCCGGTTCGGGAATGCCTCACATGCAAATGGATCTGTTGTCTTGCTCGAGTTTATGAAAGGCTCTTGAGATGGTGTCAAGATGCGCGCCATATTTAGGCCTACATTGTACTCGTATGCGAGGATAGCCGTTCGATTTTTGTATCTGGGAGTGCAAACTATCGTGGCCTAATTATATTCTAAGAGACATGCCATATTTAGGCCTACATTGTACTCGTATGCGAGGATAGGCTTTTTTTATGGAGTCGGCAAACTATCATGGCCTAATTATATTCTAAGAGACATGCCATATTTAGGCCTACATTGTACTCGTATGCGAGGATAGGCTTTTTTTTGTATATGGGAGTCGGCAAACTATCGTGGCCTAATTATATTCTAAGAGACATGCCATATTTAGGCCTACATTGTACTCGTATGCGAGGATAGGCTTTTTTTTATGGGAGTCGGCAAACTATCGTGGCCTAATTATATTCTAGGAGACATACCATATTTAGGCCTACATTGTACTCGTATGCGAGGATAGGCTTCTTTTTTTTTGTATATGGGAGTCGGCAAACTATCATGGCCTAATTATATTCTAAGAGACATGCCATATTTAGGCCTACATGGTACTGTATGCGAGGATAGCTTTTTTTTTTTTTTTTTTTTTTTTTTTTTTTTTTTTTTTTTTTTTTTTTTTTTTTTTTGTATATGGGAGTCGGCAAACTATCGTGGCCTAATTATATTCTAGGAGACATTAGCTGAGATTAGATACTATGGATAGCCATTAATTTTTTGCCTGTGGGAGTCGGCAAACTATCGTGGCCTAATTATATTCTAAGAGACATCAGGTGAGATAAAATACTAAATTCGATATTTCTGTCTCCTTTTGTGTAGGAGATAGGCGATCGCCCTCAGAGACTAAGCCACAGATTTTGCGCTCCGATTGAAAGGAAAACTGGCAAGCTGACCGTAGAATCTGTCAGTTATGGGTCGTTCATCGTTGCCTTAGTAACATGCCATGCGAGGTATGAAAAAGTGGTAGAGATGTTTACTTTCAAATCTCTCTCTCTTTTTGCCATGAATGTCAATATTTTGTCGAGTGTTTAGAATATTATGCACATTAAGCCATACTGATAGTTTGAGCTGTTAAGATTGTGGTTTGACGACTTTCGAGGTGACCCATATGTATGTGCACGTGTGTGTGTGTGTGCGTGCTCGCGCGTGCGTGTGCGTGTGCGTGTGTGTGTGTGTGTGTGTGTGTGTGTGTGTGTGTGTGTGTGTGTGTGTGTGTGTGTGTGTGTGTGTGTGTGTGTGTGTGTATTGCATGTGTGTGTGTGTGTGTGTGTGTGTGTGTGTGTGTGTGTGTGTGTGTGTGTGTGTGTGTGTGTGTGTGTGTGTGACATGCGATGAAAATGGCGAATAAAAAGTTAAAAAGTTGAATAAATGCACGCACATACAAACAACCAGGACGAGAGGGGGAGAGAACGGTTAGACGAGAGCGTAGTAAGCAAACGAGGGCGACGGAGAGGTAGGGAGAGGGAGAGGGAGGGAGAGGGGGTAGCCCGACAGACGTAAGGCAAGCGGACGGAGGAAAAAAGTGCTAGAGAGTAGGGGAGGGGTATGGGGAGGGAGAAGGCAGGATCGAGAGCACGTGAGAGCCATTCCCTGCCCACAAGGTAAGCCGGGACCCCCCCCCCTATTTGGCCAGGCACCCTTTTTATTAATGGACGTTTTTGTACGTTCATGTTCAAGGTGAAATGCCGGCTCGTTCGTTGGCCCCGCCTTCGTTAGATCGGACCGCTGGAAAAGTTTTTTCGTTTTCTTCGTCTCTCTCTCTCTCTCTCTCTCTCTCTCTCTCTCTCTCTCTCTCTCTCTCTGTGTGTCTGTTCTCTATATATATATATATATGTGTATATGCTATATATATATATAATATATATATTATATTATATAATATATATATTTATATATTTATATATATATCTATATATATATATATATTATATATATATAATATATATAATATTATATCCAATTAACCTCTCTCACCCTCCCCTCCTCTCTCTCTCTCTCTCTCTCTCTCTCTCTCTCCTCTCTCTCTCTCTCTCTCTCTCTCTCTCTCTCTCTCTCTCTCTCTCTCTCTCTCTCTCTCTCTCTCTCTCCTCTCTCTCTCTTCTCTCTCTCTCTCTCTCCTCTCTCCTCTCTTCTCTCTCTCTCTCTCTCTCTCTCTCTCTCTCTCTCTCTCTCTCTCTCTCTCTCTCTCTCTCTCTCTCTCTCTCTCTTCCCCTCCCTCCCTCCTCTCCCCTCTCCCTCTCCCACTCCCACTCCCTCTCCCATCCCTCTCCCTCTCCTCTCCCACTCCCACTCCCTCTCCCCCTCCCTCCCTCCCTCCCTCCCTCCCTCCCTCTCTCTCTCTCTCTCTCTCTCTCTCTCTCTCTCTCTCTCTCTCTCTCTCTCTCTCTCTCTCTCTCTCTCCAATTCTCTCTCTCTCTCTCTCTCTCTCTCTCTCTCTCTCTCTCTCTCTCTCTCTCTCTCTCTCTCTCTCTCTCTCTTCTCTCTCTCTCTCTCTCTCTCTCTCTCTCTCAATTAACCTCTCTCACCCCCCCCCTCTCTCTCTCTCTCTCTCTCTCTCTCTCTCTCTCTCTCTCTCTCTCTCTCTCTCTCTCTCTCTCTCTCTCTCTCTCTCTCTCTTTCTAAATTAGTATGTATTTTATTTCTTGCATTTCGTGCAGCGAAGCGCGAAAATTCGACTTGTGTTTAAGTTTCGTGTTGCAACGTTTCGGGTGATTTTGGATCTCCCAAGATCAATGTATGATCTTGGCTTGAGAATTTACAACTTAGGTTGGTTGTATACGTCTGTTTTTACAGACACGGAATATTGTACGCGCTCACGCGCGCGCGCGCGCGCGCACCACACACACACACACACACACACCACACACACACACACACACACACACACACACACACACACACACACACACATTCACACACACCACACATTCACACACGCATTCACATTCATACAACACACACATACGCACACACACTTGCATGCACACACACACGTTCACGTGCCGTCCAACCACTATTTCCAAGCCGTGTTTTCCAACTCGATCGAGAGCGGCAAAAAGTAAACCCGAGCGGGAGAAAACCTCCGCTCCAGACGCGGTAATGAATGACGAACGAACTATGAATTATGACGAACTATGAACTATGAACTATGAACTATGAAGCTATGACGAACGGGGCTCTTATGACGTGTGTGCAGTGTCGCGGCTTTGTTCCACCAAAAGGCAGACAGGTGCAGGTATATGTTAGGCGGAGGGTCTCTGATTTGCCTTTGCTGTGTAATCGTTAAGCTGATCGTTGGAAAAAAGTGGATGTTTTTTGCTGTGTAATCGTTGGGAAAAAAATGGATGTTTTTTTGCTTTGATTGTTGGAAAAAAAAATGGATGTGTTTTTGGATTGTGGATGAAGATGTTTGGTGGCATTGGAGGTGTTATTGGTAATCGGATGTTGAAGGAGAATGAATTGTTTTGTGTGAGTCTTTGCCTCTGGACGAGATTTTGAATGGGTTTGTTTACATCGAGCAGGTCGCTTTTTTTCCCTTGCGTGATGTGTGCTGACCCGAGAGACCCTTGCTGTGCCCATGACCCATGACACTAGAGAGTACACTGAC